CTGACATTTTGGCAAGAGGGTGGGATGACATTTTGGCAAGAGGGTGGGATGAAATGTTGGCAAAGAGGGTGGGATGACATGTTGGCAAAGAGCGTGGGATGGCATGTTGGCAAAGAGGGTGGGATGGGCCATAGGATCAGTGATTCCCCGACACTTTCCATCAAAACAAAATTAGCAGGCATGCAAACAAAAAGTCAGAAAAAATCCCAAACTATACAACACTTGCCAACATGTTGGCGCCTATTTCATTACGTAGTTATATTTAGGCAAAATTCTCCTGATGAGCGCCCGCAATGTGTAGATTCTGCTGGAACTATCCCTTGGATTGACAGGCTGGAAATGAGATATATACGCATCTTCCTTTCCCCTGCCTGTTTTTGGGAAATCCCCATGAGTCCCTGTAAAAGTTGCTTGTCTGGTACCAGCCAATTTTGCTTGGAACAATTCTTCTAAATTCTCCACTGTGCTGGAAACCAATGCTACACTCTTCACTCAAAAGGGTCTTCAGTCCAAGACAAAATTACAGCGACCTTCCCCAATCTTGCAAAATCCTTCAATACCTACAGGGGGCACTTGGGGTTTAACAATGAACAGCACTGAAGATTTTCATGCTATGTCAAATCCTACTGGCGTGCACTCTCTTCATTCATATTCATATGGCCGAGAACTTATCAGCCTTTGAGATTTCGACCTACCTGACAGCTTCTGGCACCTGCCTGTGCTGGCTCATGTAGCCTGATTGGCCCGGCTGGACCTGGGGCCGTCCCATCTGGGGGCCCATCATGCCCCCTGGCCCCACAGTGGGCTGAGCCCCGTGGGCGCTGTAGTGGCTGTAGTTGGGCGAGACCATGGGGTCATTGGTCAGCTGGGGTTGCTGCATCATCTGGTTGCCATAACCCCCATAGCCCACCGACGAAGGCGCCTGCTGGGAACATGACAGACACAAATGTTAAAACCCTGGCATTAAGTCACTTGTAACGTTATTGCAAATGGTAACGCCACTACAAGAGAAGTGGCTGAAACTCGAGGTACATGTATGTATGAAGCTGTACTTTATTCATGTACTCCAAGAAATGTCAAACTTATGCGCCCCAAGCTGAAGTGCACCCCCAATCGACGAATAGAAAGACAGTTGGTTACAAGCCAGTTATTGCATGTGTTCTGCGTGTACACAAAAACCATACATGCCGGAGTAAATTAGTTACGCGTATTCGGCGTGCTCCGCATCAAACGGGCATATACTTGCGCCCCTCATGGCACGCCTATGTGGTGAGTACCAAAAAACACACCCTCTTTTGTTCAACTCGGAGCGGATAGGCCTCTGTACTTGTGGTTTTACACTTTATGTGTGCGCTTTTCTATGGAGCCACGGGAGGTGGGGGGGCACGGTCCACCAAGCTCCAGATGAATCATGAAAGGCAACTAGGTACACTGTTCCCATTATTGGTACAACTGATTTGGGAGATCAGACTGACCTGGGGTTGTCCGGGCTGCATGTGGTGCATGGGACCCTCATGGGGGCCCTTGTACTGCATGAACATGTCGGTGGAGACGCCAGAGCCCCCCATGGCTCGGGCTGCTTGCTGCTGCTTGTAGTGGGCCATCTGCTGTTGCTTCTGCATCAGGTGGTACTGCAACCGAGAAAAAAACAAAACAAAACGCTGCACAGTTCAACAAACAAAAAACTGTCCAGAATGTAGACGCCAAAACGTAGGTTCAACATAACAGGGCGAGTTTCTGCCGAACTGAGTGTGATCAACAAGTCCATCACAACTCTTTTGTGAGACCGGTCACAACCATATGAGCAGTGTCAAAGAAATGATTTGAAGAGTTTTATCTTGACTTGTGACTGGACGACTTGTGACAGAGTTGTTTTTAGACAGAGTTATGGCATGAGTGCCTCAATTGTTGGAACCAAAATGGTGGATTATGCATCAGTGCACATGGACAATTAGCACACAATAGCTGTATGCTGTGCTGAACACACAATGAACGGCCATTTTGGTTCCAAAGTGTGAAGTTGGCGCTACTCTCTCTATCTACAGCTCTGACTTGTGACGGACTCGACTGTGACACTGAAGGCCCATCTCTTCTGTGAGCAAGTGGGGTTCTAAAGGACATGTATAACGTAACCTGGTTTGCACAGCAAAGTGTCCTCTTCAAATCTTAACGGTCCGTGTAATTGTGTACAGTCATGGATAATAGCATGTGATGACTATACATTCATTAAGGTTCCTCACAAAGGTGAGAGTCAGCTATCAACTAAGGACAGGAGTCTATAACTCTTTACAAATGTACCATCAAGTTATAACGATAGTGGAAAGAGCAAATTAGGTTACAGTGAGGTTTTTGTCCACAGATCACATATAAGGCCAAAGAAGTTAAAACAAACCTTGTAAAGGCTTGAAACGAAACTTTTGCTAGTAAACTGAACATCCCAGCGATTACGTTTCAACCACTGAAATCTACAAACCAACAGCTCCATTTCAGAAGTTTTAGATGTGCAAGCAACTAAAATAGATATAAATGTCCACAAAGCATTTCTCCAATAAGTGCTTTTCACTTGTCAAATCTGAAAGACCGACACTGTCGGTATACACCACATTAGGCAGTACGGGAAAACCAAAACAAAGCTTAATGCCATGACTGCTGACTATGAGCAGAAGATTCTGGGATTAGCATGTAAGTTTGGGTGTTTGCACATGCATAGATTAAAAGTTCCTGTATTTCTAAGCTTAACATTGTAAACACAGACTAGTGATTATAAGCTCTGAATTTGGTAATTAGCAGAGCCATAAACTTGAATTCTGGTCTTTTCAACCTGTGTAATCTGAAGCTGGACAAATGCACTCGCGACGATCCATAACAAATGCATATTAATGCGATGCAGTAGAGGTTAGTAGTGTACTATCCCATTACAATAAAGCACAAAGCCAAAAACACTGTGATTCTTTCGTTTCTATTGAAAATCAAAATAACACTTTCATTACAACTGATTGTCCACATGACACCAAAAATTCAAAGAAACATTCTAGCTTTTCAATAAAGATAAACACAAAACAAAAAAAGATGAATTAAAATTGAGACACTGACAATTAAGAACCACCAAAAACCAAATTGGGTAGCTTGGAATAAACAAAACAATGCATTCTAGTGCACAATTATTATTTGAGAATAGCACTTGGTCATAGTATGCACTCAGACACTCATTCAGCTTTTGGGTCTGGATCAGAGGCGATGGGTGGGAAAGATGGCTGTATGATCGATTCTAGTTGAATAGTGTGTTTGCCAATGCCTCTTGGCATAGCAAAACTGGACTTTCATTTGGAGCAGCGGCTTTGATGCTGCTTTGTTTAAAACACTGACTTCGGTATGACGGCCAGTTCATACTCAGCACCGAAGCAAACAATGTAATAATGATGTCAGAAAAAAACAAAAGTTGAGCACATTTCAACTCTAGCGAATGTTGTAGCGAACGTTTTGTGGTGTCAAATCTGCATTGCTTCTGTGTTTGCCTGAAGTATGAACTGGCCTGGAAACCAGCACAATGGAATACAAACTCAAAGGTCCAGCAGCTGGCAAACTTTTCAGTGCCACCAAGGTATCAGTGGGATAATAATAAACCGTATTAATATAGTGCCTCCCAGACAGAGTCTTGATGAAGTGCTTAACAGAACAAAGTGTAAACAATTCAATAAAATAAACCAGTGACTGTGAATTTAATAAATGGGTCTTTAGCAAGTTTTGGAATTCATACTCGGTTGACGCAGTTTTGACACGAGGAGGAAGAGCATTCCACGAGGCTGGAGCAGCAAATGACAGGACCGACAACCGCAGAATTTAGTTCAAGATGTTGGTTGACTGGTTGACTTAATTGGTATGTTGAACTGGATCGAAGAGTGCGGACAGGTTGATAGGTATGAATGAGTTCTTGCAGATATTTTGGAGCAGATCATTTTTGAGCCAGTTATGTTTCTTAATACACTTGATACTAAATACCATTTGTTTTCTTGCCTAATGCCCAGAATTATAGGCAAAGTCACTAGCACCCGTTGGGGGTACGGGGGTAGGGGGCTGAGAGGCCAGTGCCCCTCCCCCATCCCACTTTTTGACTTGGAGGGGGCATTCTTCCCTCAAACTCTTAGCCAGAACACAACAGGGCAGGGCTTCGTGGATCAGTCCATTAATGGCTGATGGTCTCACAAATGCAGCCCACCCTGTTGGAAATTGTTCCGCCACCATTGGCCAATGTTGGTAAATATTTGCCATTTGGTAACGATAGTCACTGACACTTGGAACCCACAGACAAAAAAATACAATGCTGTATCAGCAACCGGAGGCTGAAGCAGGAAGGATGAGCCGGCGAGTTCTAAGCCCCCGAGTTTCTGTCTATACTTCATTCTTAACATGCAAGCAATGTTATAAGAAACTGTGGCAGAGCTGTGCAATTTTCTTACAGTCATTTACATGAACAGTTGAATTATATGACACTTTTTGGACAAGGACAATCACAGCTGTTACTGCAACTGTTGCTTTTCAATATTACAGCAGTGATGAAGTCATTACATTACTTGCTGCTCTGCCTGGCATTTTGAAACAAATTCCCTCTTTTCTTCGATGGAAATGGCCAGAAATTCTCGCAGTTCTCTCACAGCCAAAAAGGTTTTTTCGGCACTCCCCTAAAAGTTGTGGATTTCTTGTACAAACTCAGATACGTTGACCAATGACGAGCCTTAATCATTTTCATCTTTTTGTTCGACACAGCTTACAACACCTAAAATGGTTATGTAAAATATGCCAGAATTTGTTGCGTAAGTTGCAGACTTTTGCAGTGCGCAACTTTTGTGAAATGAGTCACAATTTCTAGCATATATCTAATACGAAACATGCAGCATATTAGATGTGAAAGCAATGTATCTAGTTCTAAACACAGAGTTCTAACACATCCATTTCTGAACTGACATTAAACAGCACATCACATCTGTGCTGCTCTTTAGGTAGAAGGGGTACATCTTGGTACACGTCTTCAATCAATGCAAAATTTAACACTGGTTCACTCCCTGTTCATTTACTTGCTGATCTGTACAGTCCGTAACAAGTCAGTCCACAAGACAGTCCACAAGTCAGTCCACAAGTCAGTCCACAAGTCATTCCACAAGTCATTCCACAAGTCATACAAGTCAGTCCACAAGACAGTCTACAAGTCAGTCCACAAGTCATACCACAAGTCATTCCACAAGTCATTCCACAAGTCATTCCACAAGTCATACAAGTCAGTCCACAAGTCAGTCCACAAACCAGTCCACAAGTCAGGTCATGACTTCAGAGATGAGCAAGGACAAACAAATGCCCTTATCACAGTTCATTTTATTTATAGATATTTTGCGAGTTGACTTATGACAGAAAGACTTGTGACTGACTTGTGGTGATTTGTGACCGACTTGATCACAACTACGCTTCGTTTTCCATTTCTTCCACTCTTTTCACTTTCCTCATTCATGTCACAATAATTTCTACATCGGTTCCGAAACAAGAGTTTTTTGTCCCAAAAAAACTAGAAGTAACCCTTAAATCTGCAGCACCCAAAAATAGCTTGATAACACAAAGAAGCAGAGCCACAAATCGAGCACAAAGTCACAACTTCAGAGCAACTTGAACACCAAAGTTTATACTTGACTAAGTAACATGTAAAGAAATATTTTCCAAACCGAGGGCCCTTCTATTCCACTTGTCTCAGACCAACCTGGCATGCAACACATGCATACTAGTAGTAAGGGACAAAGACAACAATCTACACTGCAGCTCCGGTAATAATTTGTATGTCAGCTGGTGGGTTTCGTCAGTGTCAGTGTGTGAGCCATGCAGAAAGCGTTCATGCATAACGGCAAAGGAGGAGTTGATACCCAGCCTGGCATGGGCAAGAGGGAGGGAAGTCGGTTAAAAAAATATGCCACATAAGATAATGCCAGCATTGGTCTGTTTACCTTCAAAATGGGACTTCCATAGTGGACTTCCTCTCTCTGAAAAGAGGGTAGCATGTGGCAAAAGTCAAACAAGCTAGGATTAACAGACTGCAATTTTTTAACACCTAATTTCAATAAACATCCCACTGTCATCCGTCTTATACAACTTCACACAAAAATCTATACAACTTTCGTAATAATGATTGTTGAAAAAGTGACCAATATGGCTCACTGTGCAAGTACTTATCTCTGATTCTTTTGGCATTAAAAAATAAGAATACATCTATTCCCCTTAGATGGGTTACCAATCCATTACAGGCTACTCTTGGGTTATGCTCCTGGGTGAAGAGATGCAAGTAGGGGCAAAATACCTTACCCATGGACACAAAGCATATGGCCAGCACCTAGATCCACGCCACTGACCCTTAGGTCATGAGTCACAAAGCTTGACCAGTGGGTCAGAGCCCTGGCTTGGAAGCTGCCTTGAGAATCTGAAAATCCTTCCCTCAAATCATTAACAAGTGTACCAGACTCACAAAGTGTCGCACAGAACCAAGTCATTCAGCATCACTCTCTGTGGTATCACTAAGTCTGTTTTTCTCCACTATTTCTCCACTACTGTAAGCATCCAACATATGTACATGTACACCGCATGTACTTATTAACTAGACTATTACTTTTAAGCAAGAATTCTTTTTGCTTAAGTGTAAACACTTGCTAGACTGTAGGCCTCAACAATACTTACGAAGCTGGCCCTTTTTTTGACTGTCTAATCAAATAAGGCCAAAACAACAGTTCTGCTTCCCTACCTAACCTATTTTGACGGTGCAACCCTCAAATTTTTTTGAGGGGAAATATCAGAGAAATGTGGAATTGGAAATAAAGGCAAAAACATGTCTGTCTCAGTTTGAAAGGAGCACAAAAAGGTACCATGGACTTATTTATGCATGCAAGTGGGAGCCTTTAAAGTGTTGTCTTATTGCAAATGCCACCTGATCTCTTTTGCTGTAGCCAATTAACACTTAGCTGCACACTGAATCAGTACAAAACCAAACAGAGCAAACAGCAATCTATCTAAACACTATATCTACAACAGTCTGCTCTACGGAAGTTCTGAGCATTTGGTTGAAACTGATGTGTCTCCTCTTGCACTCCATACTGTGCAGGACAATAAAGGCCACTGGTATACCTCTGTCTTGAATACCGTATTTTCATTGGCCCAGAACGATCACATGATCACGACTGGGAAATATGACAACACATACTGTACTACCCTCATCCATGTTCATATTATAGAACTAGTCTCTGCCCCACACGCCAAACCATAACCATAATATCTGCACCTGAAATTAGAAGGGGTGGTGTCCTTAAAATTACATTATACTCTTTTTTTTACACTGGTGGCTACCTGGCCTAAATATTACCACTATAGCAGGGAACCAGCCTGAGCATGTGCAAGGCTTCCTCAAACCTTCCTCAATTCTTTGACCCCCCTGACCTTTGACTCCCCTGCCCTTCCTTTCAATAATCACCTGGTTGCCGGGCTGTTTCCTGTCTACCAGCATGTTCCGCAGGGCAGCCTTGGAGTTCCCCCCCATGGGCATCTGCCGGTCCATACGAGAAGGTCCTGCTACAGCGAGCCGGGAGGAGAAATACGGGTTGCCATGATTAATGACCAGAAATGGAGAAACGATGGTGAGTCTCCAAAAATCTGCAGCTCAGGCCAAACATAAAAACAAATCACTATTCCTCTCCACTGACAGAGCACCAAGACAACAATGTTACCCAAAAAAATACAGAGGAGGGCGGCAATGTCCTGTAATAACACTTCTTACTTTCTGATAAAAAATCATTGCCCCAAGCATAGCACTTATTTTACAGTCCTGAAAAACTCCATTGGGACTTCACAAAAAGTCATGTTACCCACCTCCATATGCTTTTTGCACCTGTTACATGGACTTACTGGACTGTTAGTGTTACCAATTTTGTCACCCAAACCGAGAAAGTAGTAGGTATTAGATTGACCAATGATAAAAACAGCTGAAACCAGCTGAAAAAAGCAATAAATAAACTGGACTGTGAAAATCTCCCATACTTTTGTACACAGCCAGTGAGGAAAAAAAGCTGAAATCAGCTGGAAAGCTGAGAAATCTCACCCCTGAAGTCGTGAAATATTTGTGTGCTTATACAGGAAAGCTCTACAATTACACTTCTTACTGTGGACTTGTGGCAATACTATCGAGCAGTGTTCTTTGCTACGATAACTGACCACAGCATATTGCCGAGTCAGGGTGCCACACACGGTAAGCCTACAAAGACTGGTCAGGTCCTCTTATGAGGGTACAAAACCAGCGAAAACAGCCGTAACATATTGTAATCACAATTATTCGAAATTCCACTGAAACTGGAGTAAGGAGGAAGCCACATGGCAGTGAATGACACCTCAACCTTACTAACAGAAAAGTAATTTATTTTCAATTCATGGTGATGAAAAAGACTTCACTCATTAGTCGGCCATATTGAAATTAAAAGTAACGTTAGCTCTTCATTTGGGAACCTGAGGGTAAAAAATCAACCAAAAGGCATTTTATGACAATTAATGCCTGTCTGCTGGGATGAATGATTTCAAAGTTATCGTTAAATATTTCTAAAGTGTTTTGATCCATTTGTTAAAAAATTTAAAGGGAGGCTTGGAGTGCATGCCAATCATAAGATAGTCTGGTGCCATTCCCTTTAACAGTTTACAATGTGTTAAAAAGAACCAGGGAACAAGATAAGAAAAGGCCTCCTAATGAATGAAGTATACCTGGTAGTGTTTGATTGCCAATCATAAAATAGTCTAGTACCATTCCACTCAACATTTTGTGGTCTGTGGAACAGAATCAGGTAACAAGACTGAAAATGACATCCTGTTGAATGACGTCTACTGGGGAGTGTTGGTTTACCTGGTGGTAGTGGCTGTTGGTAAGGAAACTGGCCCGGCATGTAATTCTGCTGCTGTTGCATGAATGGACGCTCCGGGAAACCACCCATATTCTGATTGTAAGCAAACGGCTGTACAGAATAAAACGGGACCAAAGACTTACACTAAACATTCCGAACAAATTTTAGAACATTTGAAATATCTAAGAATTTTGTTAAACTTTCAATGAAGTATTTTCATGCAGAGTCATTTTTTTTCTAGTATTTTTTTTTTTAACCTCCTTTCTGGTCATGAAACTAAGGAGTTCTTTGAAGCTGTACATGCAATAATCAGATAATACACCTAATATTCCAATAAAAATCTAACGTGAAGAGATGACATGTGATTGTCACGTTTTAGAAGGCAGCACAATAACCTTGGAATGTAACCTTGTAAACCTTCATCATTAAAACAATATTTTTTCTACCCATAATACATTTATACGACGGAAATCAAAAGTCAGGCAAAGCATATGCGTGTACATGTATTCCTAAAAACAGAATCACAAAATCCTCAAAACCAAGCTGTTAACGAGCGTTACATAATTCAAATCTTTCTTATTGTCTAATCCTTTTTTCCACTGTATTGCATTGTTATTTAACTGTTATCTTGTAATAAGTCACTTACTTTGTGCTTTTCTGTTTGATGTTAATTTTGTAAGTAACTACTGGCCTAATAAAGGTAGTATCCGGAATGGGACAGGGGAAAGATATAACATGAGCCTTTGGCTTCTCCTGACTCCTGTGCTGACGCTTTGTATCCTTCTTCAAATCAGTTCTCCCGAACTGAAATTCAGACTTGTTTTTCACTGCACATGCACTTCCACTCATATTGCGCACCTCAAATGTTAATGTCAGCATGAACAACGTTGATGTTAATTAACCATATGCTGCCAGGGAGCCCAGTTTCGGGCACCTAGGCTTTATACACAAAACTGGGGAGCCCGAAATCGGACAAAAGAGCTAGGCCTTGTAACAAAACACCGTACTCGGTACAAAAGACCCGCTGCTGGGAATTGCCATCATTTTTCAGCTTGCATTTATCAGAGGTAATATAGCGCGCCCGTGGATTAGCACCGCGGACAAAAGTGCTCCAGCTCCCCATTGATGGGAGATACAGTAACGCTGCACGCTAATCCAGCCGCATTTGAAAAGACGCCACTGGCATTCACTGTGAACAAAGGAAATTATGTAACACCTCACAGTTCTGGGCAAAATGAAAACCCTGTTTTAGGTAATGCTATCTGCGAGGATTTTGACAAAGATCTTCAAGCTAGAGAAACTTCTCGAGCGGATTCCACTGCAGTCTGTTTTGCTCGATGGCCATTATTAAAATATCAGCGTTGTCTCCAGCCCTGGCTTTACCCGGGGCTTCAAAATCACTTATAACTACTTACCATCCAAGCTATTATGGACACTTACATGAGATGAAGTCTCGCGCTAAACAATCAGACTGTCAGAAGTCACAAATGCGAGAAAATGAAGCACTTAGGAGGGTCCCAAGTCAGGCCACTTAAGAAAAGAAATTGAAGCCTAGAGCCACACCATAGTGAAAGTTTCAACAAACTTCATAGATTTGCACCAGTCTTTCTGCACATTGATGCCTTGCCTTACCTCTCTCATCATCTGCTGGCCTGGGGTTGGCGTCTTCTTCCGCACCCGCTTCCTCTTCTTGCTGGTGGTGACCCCGCTGGTAATGTCCCCAGCCCCGGCCGTGCTGCCACTGCCGCTCCCCTCCCCCTTGCCGCTTTCCGACAAGCTGTTACCCGATGAATCCGTCGCTGCCTTCTCCGCCTCGGGGCCAGAAGCCGGGGGCGGGGCTGGCTCCTCTTCATCCGGTGGCAATTGGGGAGGCTGGAAGTAGTAGTCATCGGGCCGCTCCCGGTGGTGGGTGTGGTAGTGGGTCAGCCGGAACTGTTCCTGGTATTTGAGGGGCTTGCGCTCCATGCGGACAGCCCCAAAGAAGGACCAAGAGAGCGGGGCAGGGTTCTTGTAGGCCTCCAGGGTGTCCCAGGGGTTGATCTTCTGCTTGGAAGCCACTTGCAGACCCTGTCACATTTTGGATAATGCAAGACAAGAAGTAAACACTTGTTTCTTCAGTAATTATACTAATTCCCTTTTTGATTATTGTAAGTACTGATGAGTTGTTATTTTTGCGCCTTATGGAAGGAAACCTTTAATTTAACACAAATGTAGCTAAATAATCATCACATCCATGGATTAATGAAGTAGCCAACTATACTTGCGGCCCAAGGACAGTGGGCAGCAATACACAGTGCTTGGCACATACTTCTGATGAAATACTATACTTGCGGCCCAAGGACAGTGGGCAGTAATACACAGAGCTTGGCACATACTTCTGATGAAATCTCCCAGTTTCTCTTGACAGACTCAAGGTAGCAATTTTAGGATATATCACCACAACTTTTGCAGTCCCTGCTACACATTCCCCCACTGGCTGATCCAAGGTAGATCAACAGGGGCCAAGACCCCCCAAAAGGAGGTAAATTGCCTTTTCTTTTGTTTTGAAATATACTGAAAGAAAGGCAATCTTTTGGGACAACTTAATTTCCCTTTTTTCCCAAAGAATATCGTAAAGCACCCCAAAATTAGCTTAACAAATTAAGAAATGCTACAAAGGATTACTTGAGAAACTGCCGTATATTTTGGCCCTTCCCCCAAAAAAACTTGGCCCCCTCTCCACCTGCCACCTACCTGTTTCTTGTTGATGGAGTCGAAGCCGGCAATCTTGTTGCCCTTGGTGTCGATCAGGCTGCCCATGGGTTCCACCGTCACCACGTCACAGGTCTTCTTGGGCACCGGCAGCAGCTGGCGCACCCGGTCGATGTCGTACGAGTGCTTGTCGCCCAACTCCTTCTTCAGCTTCTTGATGAGCGTCTGGTGCTCCCGGCCCTTCTCCCCCTCGCTGCAGTCACTGGACAGGGTGCTGTTGATCAGCACTGACAGCATGTCCAACACCGTCGTGAACAGCTCACTGCAAAAACGGCGTTTTTTAGTTTGACGGGGGTGTGATCATCCTTGCCCTTAAGAGCGAACGTGCCACTGCAGCGTTTTGTAAACGACACGTGAACATGTTCAGTGCTTGTAAATCAGCCTACAGTCATGCTCATTAGGCCAATCTCACATGTGTACTGCTGTTCTTGAATGACCTCCAACACGCTTCATTCTGGGCATGCACTGCTGGAATACCAACCTGCCTCATTGTGAGGGACGTAGCCAAGACAAGCTGGCAACACATGAAAGTGCCTCCGAATGACATATCTGAATGCAGAACGATAGCGGTACTTGAGATTGAACATGCGAATAGGAACAAAAGCCAGAGAACTAGGGAGACACTCTTTTGGCAGAAGAAAGGACTAAAGGACAACTCTACAGGTTGTATATGGCCCGGGCTAGGAATTAAACAAAGGTCGCAGTGGTGAAGGGCTTGATTGACCAACCAGCCAAGTCATCTTGTTACAGTTCACTACAGGAGTGAATGCAAGAATGGTGGAACAGGTTTTGACTGTGAAAGGTTGCTCTCTTACTTTCCTCACGATGGTCACCTTTAAGACGAGGACGATCAATTTACCTGTTGGAGTGGGTGTCCACGGTCCCCGTAGTAATGAGCTGCAGCAACAGCAAGGCAAACTCTGTAGTCCACTGCTGGCTGCGCAGGATGGTGTCAAACATGTTGCCGACCTGTTGGGCATTATAAGATCACTGAGTTAGCAACATCATAGATGCCAGCGTAAAAGCATGGCTGGTTTTTCAGGGGCATGTTTTTCATAAATAAGACCAGAAACATGATTCTGCTTTGGTCATTAGTTGGGCGTTTCTCCAACTTTGAATATGCCTATGGAGTCACTGTTTCAACTGAACAAGAACCGAAGGTTGGTGATGGCTCTTTGCCGAGTCAAAATGAAGGAAAATGTCTTTTTTTTATCTCCAATGTCAGTGAATTATGCATCCCCCAATTTTTTGTCGTATGCAGTGAACCAAAACTGGTTATTTTCTTCTCAAATGTGAAAAGAGACAGCAGCAGTAGAAAGACACTTGCCAAAGATTGAGCAAAAATGGCATTTGTGAACAATATCACCTGCTACCTAGTATTAGCCTTACACATAATCCCAGTATTCCTGCTTTGATGTCACAAACATATTTCTGGTTTTAACAAATGTAGCAAAAGCACTGACTGGGCTTGGTGGTAAAGTGGCTAAGGTATCTTTATCACTGCATATGAATAGGACGGTTCTGGTTTCCAGACTCATGCAAGAACTTATTAATGCATAAGAACAGGAGGGTTCTGGTCTCCAGACTCGTGCAAGAAAGCTTGTGACTTTTTTCTCTCACTGAGCAGATGGTGTACAAATAATGAATATTTCACGTAAACAACGGCGAGAATAACTTCGCGAGGTGATGGATGGAATGCTCCATTCTAAACAGATTGCCAGTTTTGGAAGTCTTTTGATTTGATCTAATAAGTTCCATAATCTCTATCAAAGCTCCAAATCTCAAGTCACCAAAGTGGTGAACTTTAACTTTCTAATTGGAAAAGGAAGTACTCCACACAAAACATGCAAGCTTGTTGGCTTCAATGGCCTGACAACACTTTGTACAATTTTTGCAAAAGGTATTTGTAATGGCTGTTCTAACTAAGATATGAGGGACATTTGGCTGAACAGTGCTTTTTGCAAGATGCCTCGGACACATTGGATAGAATGTGGCACAGGACAAAATATCTGGATTGATGCGAGGCATCGGTGAGGGCTGGGAGACTGACCAGGCTGAGTCTGAGCTGCAGGGCTTCATGCATCATTCTACGGCTCTGCTCATCTTCCCAACGATCCTGAAAAGATCAGAGGCGGAAATAGAAATTCAAGAGCTGCAGCAAACAATGAAGAGGTTCTTGTAACAGCAGGAGCCGAGATGCAGCTGGATTTGCAGTGCTCCTTTGAGGAAGTGGCGACTTGTTGCTGTTGCGTGTTGCTGGTGAGCGCATTTCCAAAATAGTTTTTGGGGTCCACTGGATCAAGTGCTTATCCCACGTTTTCCTACTGAAATACGGGCGGTTCACAAAAGTGCACTTCCAAGAGTTTGCAGTGTGTTGGCCAATCACAACGTGTGAAATCTGTCGATCCAATGCCCGTTTGACAAGGGTCGACAGATTTCACGTGTTGTGATTGGCGAACACGCAGCAAACTCTTGGAGGCGCACTATTGTGAATTGCCCATATTGTACATTCTTTGAAAGCATCCATGGTTCATTCATGCTTTCAAGGAAGGCAGAAGTGAATCCAGAATACCAACATGGCCACGAAGGGTTTGACCACTGCTGCAGTTTCACTTTCATACACTCCTTTTGTACATACATCGTTTGGATTTTGTGTACATTTGTTAATATTTAGCAGTACTTTAACATCTTGTGTAATCTGCAAACGATTTATCCCTTGCCCATGATTTCTGGTAAATGAACCACTCCAATTCTTGTTGGAGGCAGATGAAGCTTCCCGTGACCAACAATTCATGTCAGAGTGACAGCATTTGTTGTTTTTTTTTTCAGAATGAAGCCTTACATCTTTAGGTGACTGCAAGAACTGAGTGAGCTGTGTTTGGAGGGACGTCAGCAGGCCCTCTCGTTGCTCGTCTTGCCCCTTAAGGCAGGTCAACACCAGGGACAACAGGGGCTGGTGACTGACGAGGGACATTTGGCTGTGCACGGGGGAGGAGAGAGAGAGAATGGCATTTTAGGGCCCATGAAATAAAGTTACTAGGAAGTGAGAGAAATATATTTTAAATAAATAGTCATCCCTTTGAGTTGTAAGACACTATAAAGCATTTTGAAGGTCCTTTTTCCGTTGTCCACCTAAATTTGAGAGATGTTTCTTCTGAGCTTTGCAGTTGAATAACTGTAATTGAGTAATTTTCTAAACAAGCAATAAACATTTTAGACACTGAGGTCATTTACAAATGCCATGTGATCTCCACACAGTAACCTGAGAGGGTCATGAGTAATTTTCAACAGAATGAGCAAAACCACCCGACACATGACAAGCAAGCACCAAAAGTTGGACCCGTGCATGACAAAGTAGCACAGGATTGCCTTATACAAAATATCAGACTTTACTTCTGAGCAAGATCCTGCAAGGATCAAGACATCGGGCGCTCTATTAAACTTTCCAGCTTTGTATGTCTCAGGTTACTCCGATTAGAATTTTGCATCATGCTTCCCACTTCAATCTCTTACTTGTAATTTTTCACACTTGGAGTTAAAGTCAGATGGGTCAATAACTTCAGTATGAAATACTAAACAATAGCTTGACTAGAGTGTCATAATGGAAGTCTGGACGGTACATCTGGACTTACGCTTTGTGACCATGCTTATCCTTGTCCTTGCTGGACTTGGACCACGTGTGGCCCACGCTCTCCAGGACGTTGCCGGCGGCTCTGAGGACCCGTCCCTGGACTTGACTGGACAGCTTGGAGATGAGGGGTGCCACCAGCCACACCCCGCTGCGCTCCTGCTCCAACCTACCCATCCCAAAAATAAAAATCATGGAATCGACAGCATTCAGTTCAATAGTAATCAATAGATCCATACTGATAAATCCCGTGTCCTGGTGACTTTTTTTCAAGTTTCAATTTTTTCTTCACCGAGGGAGTCGCCTCTGACATTGAAACTGTTTGTAGGCTGACCTTGTCTAAATATACCGCTATCTTTGGGTAGACAACCAGAGCTGAAATGTGTTTAGATTAACTGGATTTGCAGCACAAACATTGCTGTGTTGTCATTCCTTTGTGATCACATTGCTTTTACACGGAATGAGGACCAGCCTTAAAACATAAGTTAATAAGACTGGTTGTGAGTACAA